GCACCTTTTTCAATATTGTTGTAACTTTAAATGGTAACGAAATGAATAGTTGTAGGTCAAGGACTACCTATATTTATTTTGCTGAATGGAATGGAATAGAATAGAATAGTTGGAGGTCTTCTAATTCAACCCGGCAGACCTGGGGTTGATGAGTTCCCCTCCCCTCTCGACCTGTATGGCTGTATGATTCTTGTTTATTTTAATCATGTGTATTGTGTTCTATGTTCCCCTTTCCCCCCCTTTGAGTTGTTTGCCGCCCTGAGTCCCTCCCGGAGAAGGGCGGCATACAAATAAACTAAATCTGAATCTGAATCTATGTTATTTTATTAATAAACTGCTCAGAGTCAGCTAGGTAAGATGAGTGAGGTAGAAATTTGAGAAATAAACCTGAGTTTTTACAAATAGCTTTGCCACTAATAGTAATTTTTTTTCTCTTCCCCTCCCAGAGATTTTATCCTGGAGGCTTTATCCAGCCAGAAATTTTGCCTCAGCTGCTACTGCCAGATCCACAGAAGAAAATATACTAAAATGGGGACTTCTGCTCATCCCAATAGGTTCATTTTTCCTTGGCTCTTGGCAGGTAAATAAGGATGAAGTGAAGGCTGGCTGCTTGGAACTTTTGGGTAGCTTAGTGCAGTGGTCACCAACCAGTGGTCCGTGGAGCACTGGTGGTCAGTGAGAAAATTTTGGTGGTCCGTAGAAAAATTATCTGCATTTTTTATATTGCACGAAATCAGGGGTCCTCAAACTATGGCCCCTGAGCTAGGTACCTGCAATGAATGCTTGTGTTGCTTTGGGGTCACTTTATGGGGGCTGGAGGGGGGCAGAAATTCCAACTTAGGGTCTGCTTCAACCTCCTGGTGGGGGGGCTTTGGACAACGGCTGGAGGGAAGTGCTGCTAGTGGCAAAGAGCTGGATTGGGTTTGATTGTTGGTTGTAAGTTGAGAACTATCTGTAAATAAAAGACATGCATGATGTGCTTAACAATCAGTGTGCTTAATCTTCTGGTTTTCAATTACTAGACAGCAAAATCTTCCTTTAAAGAAACGCCTGTCTATTAATAATTGCTCTTGTGGAGCAAAGACTCTTTTAAGTGTGTGCGGCATTCCTTCCGAGTGTTACTCTTATTATTCTAATTTGTTCAAAAAAGCGAATTTTAAAAGCTTCCTACTATGCTGGGTAGATAGATAGTGCTGCTGTGAGAGAGGAATTCTATAGACCAGATGTGTTTCTCCTACTTGACAATGGAACAAAAGTCCAATATTTTGTGCTTTACCTCAGGTTCGGCGGCGGGAATGGAAGAGGAAGCTGATTGCCGAACTGGACAGCAGGGTTACTGCCGAGCCAATTCCACTGCCAGCAGAGTAAGTGTTTTTTGGGAATGGTAAAGAGAATTTAGAATATTACCGAGAGCATCAAATAGGTACCTCCACTTTGATTTTGGTGGGAAGACCACTCACAATTTTTTAATTTATTTTCATCAGGAAGAAAACCGGTGCCACTGTTGGCTGCCGCTCCTTTTTCCTGCCCAGAATGCACTCTCGCTTTCTTCAGTCCTCTAAAAAACACATTCTCTTTTTGTCTGTTTCATGGGTTCTCCAAACTTGGCAATTTTTAAGAGACCTTTGGATTTCAGCTCCTGGAATTCCCTCAGCATAGGTGGCTGAGGAAATTCTGGGAGCTTGAAGTCCACAAGTCTTAAAACGGCCCAGTTTGGAGAACTCTGATCTAACTTGAGCCTCTGGAAAAAAAAATAGGGGGTGGGGGGAAGAGAGACACTCCTAACACCTCTTGGTGTGTGTGTGTGTTCTGTTAAGATACAGCCTGTTGTGCCTTAAAATGGCTTCTACTGTACAGCGCAATGGGGCTCCCTCTGGTAAGGGGGAAAATACAACATTAGAAATTACGTTTGGCCTGGACATTTCCACCCTATAAATACCCGGGCAACACTGAATGATCAGCTAGTATAGTATATAAATAACAATAAAATGGCTGCCAGGACAGAGGTTTCCCCACATGCTTAGTTCACCTTTCAGAATTCTGATTGCCTCATTTCACTGCAAACTATTTTGGTTGCTACTTTTATGAGAACTGTAGCCCTGGCAGACATAATTGTTCCAGTTGTTAGCTAATTGGCAGAAACTATGTCATACGGGAACACAAAAGTAGCAGGACATTACAATTTTCTGAGCATTTGAAAACAGATATGTATTGTATATTCAAGCAGCTGGCTTGTTTAAGTTCTCTTTGTAGCAAGTTCAGGGCGTTGCCTCTTTCTCTACCATTACAGGCAGTTTAGTTGGTCTGTTTTCCCTTACTCTCATTCATAAACGGCAATATTAATTGGCAAAACATTTTGTTTTCTCTTTTGCTGTCTAAGCTATAACCCAGATTCCGCTTCCTGCCTTGCTCCTTTTCTGCAGCTTCTATGAACTGAACGAATTAGAATACGTGCCAGTCAAGGTCAGAGGTCATTTTGACCACACCAAAGAGCTGTATGTGATCCCGCGAACCCCAGTAGATCCCGAGAAAGAAGCCAGGAATGCCGGCCGTATCATGTCTAACGTAGAGAGCGGAGCCCACGTGATCACTCCCTTTTACTGCACTGACCTCGGGTGTGTATATTATCATCTCCAAGGTTTAAGTAGCCGCCTAGAGTTGGGATGAAAGATAGGTGGCTGTATAAATGATTTAAGTAAATAAAATGCAGCCTTGCTGTCACCCCTGAGTGACTTTTATTATTGTGGTTTTTTAAACCTGCAGGATAACGATTCTAGTCAACAGAGGATTTGTTCCCAGAAAGAAGATGAATCCAGAGACCAGATTAAAGGGACAGGTACGCTGTTGGCTTTCCATGGGGTAGTCCTCTCTACTTAGACAGACAGATTAAACAGTGTTGGAAGGGACCTTGTACGTCATCTAGTCCCACTCTCTGACCAAGCGGGAGACCCTGGCCTACACCATTTTTGACAGATGGCAGTCCAGACTCTTCTTGAAAGCCTCCAGGGATGAAGCTCCAAAGCCAAGCTCTTCCATGGGTTGATTGTTCTCACTGTCAGAAAATTCCTCCTTATTTCCAGGTTGAATCTCTCCTCCTTCAGTTTCCATCCATTATTCCTTCTCTGGCCTTCAGGGGCTTTGGAGAATAGCGTGACCCTCCCTTCTCTCTGTCGCAGCCCCACAAATATTGGAAAACTGCTATCCTGTCTCCCCTGGTCCTTCTCTTCCCTAGACTAGCCATGCCCAATTCATGCAACCCTTCCTCATACGTTTTAGTCTCCAGTCCCCTCATCATCCTGGTTGCTCTTCTCTGCACTCTTTCTACAGTCTCCACATCTTTTGACCAAAACGGGATGCAGGATTCTAGGTGTGGTCTTAATAAGGTTTTATAGAGTAGGAATGGGAGCTCACACCATCACACGGCGATGGGGTCTCGAACTGCCAACTTTCTGGTCAACAAAGCTAGCACCTTAATGGCTAAGCCAACCACGTCCTTAGCCTGCCTCAAAAGTGTTGTTCCTCACCACCTCGGTCTGTTCCAGTCAGTCCTGCCACCCCCCCTTTCGTGCTGAGCATCTATCATCTTTTTTCTCCATGCACATACTGCCTGGGACAACCAGATCCCACGATAGAAATAATTTATAATACGTGTCGAAACGGGTTTTGTTCCTTTATATATTTGTTTTGGATTGAACTAGTCAAAAAGTTTTGAAGAACAGAAATTGCAGTTGGATTTTTCCCCCCCTTTTTCTTTTTTAGATCCAAGACGATATTGAACTCACCGGGCTGGTGAGGCTATCAGAACCTCGGAGGGCTTTTGTGCCGGAGAACAACATCGAAAAAAACGCTTGGTTTTACCGTGATTTGGATGCCATGGCTAGAGTCACCGGAGCAGAGCCCATTTTTATCGACGCTGACTATAGTAAGTCCCTCACGAACATTGCCCCGTCCTCTGATTTTCCTGGATGTTGCGTACAGTTTCCCTAGGCAAAATTTAAAATTGACTAGCATCAGATGTCGGCTTGATAGTTTAAGGAATCATTGGAGCGGAACAGGTGAGCCTACTTGGGTGGACCCCAAATACGGCGTTTTAGATTTAAATTTTTCACCAAAGGCAAAGAATTGTGGGATTTGCAACTGGTGGGATTCACATTTATTTTTTTACTGCCGGTTCCGTGGGCGTGGCTTGGTGGGCATGGCAGGGGAAGGATACTGCAAAATCCCCATTCCCTCTCGATCAGCTGTGACTCCGGAGGCAGAGAATAGATGGGGGCGGGGCCAGCCAGAGGTGGTATTTACCAGTTCTCCGAACTACTCAAAATTTCCACTACTGGTTCTCCAGAACTGATCAGAACCTGCTGAATATTACCTCTGATTTGTAAGGCCAAACCAAGCACAGATGCCTGCTTCTAGTTTAGCTGCACGTGTGAAGAATGTAGATCTTGATGAAATTCAACACCAGAAGGCTCATGTGTGGCAGTGGCATTATGGATTAATGACACCAAAACCCTCACATGTAATCAGCGTACTTATCTTGGTTAATTTAGTACTAAATAGTCTTTCAAGATTTACTGAAGCTTAAAAACTGCTTCAAGGCGTTAAGTAATGGGAAGCAATCGATAAACACCCTAATATACACTCCCCTTGGGAAGATAGGCCAATAATCTTATTGGCAGAGAGGTTGTCTCCAAAGAAAAGCCCAATTTTTGGTAATTATGGGACTTAAAAAAAAATCCATGCACATCAAAGGACAGAATGTTTCTTGAAGCAATATTTAAAGAGAGAGCTTTGAAGTGAAGTTTATTGAACTTATGGGTGAGCAACACACGGAAAATCTTACTGAATCGCGCTCCAATTCTCTCTATACCCACAGGAAGCTCAGTTCCCGGGGGGCCAATCGGGGGCCAGACCAGAGTAACTTTACGAAACGAGCACATGCAGTATATACTTACTTGGTGAGTAGCAACACATTGGTTTTAGCTGGTGGGGAGGGAGCGGCCAAGAGTGGGAAAGATGAGGAGTAAACCCTCAAGCGATCCACACATTTGTACTCCAAATTGTTAAAATCAAACATTTTTCTCTTTCTGTTCAGGTACACCTTATGTGCAGCCACTTCCTTTTTGTGGTACAAGAGGTTCATTCAGAAGGTGCCTTTCTGAATCCTACAACTGCTGAAGAATGTGGTTTAGGGGTGCGGCTTTAAAAAGTGGCCACCTATCCCAAGTCGTAGAGTGGAGCATTTGGAAGATGATTGGGGACTTCTTGATGGACACCTCACCCAAGCCAGGAGTTGCTGGAAACCAGGCAGAGCATCTCTGAAAAGTAAGCGGATCCTCACGTATTTGGGGAAATGTTACTGGTTATCAGAAGACAAATAATGGAGAGTTTTGAAGGAAAAAGTCTTTTCAAACGTGGGTGCGTCAATGAACAAGAAATCAATTAAAATTAGAGGCTTTAGCATTGGAGGTACCCTATATTTGTGATAATTTGAATCATGTTTCTTAAAATATGTGAATAAAATGAGTGTTCAACTCTTCCTGGTATTTAATGAGGGCGTAATAGAAAATACGACAAAGAACTATTGCAAAGAATGCCCATAATTTTGGGCCAGTAATTCTCTCAGCCCAATCCACCTCATAGGGTTTTTGTTAGGAAAATAGGAAGGGGAAGGAGTATTAAAGGTTCCCCTCACACACATGTGCTAGTCGTTCCCGACTTTAGGGGGCGCTGCTCATCTCCGTTTCAGAGCCGAAGAGCCAGTGCTGTCCGAAGACGTCTCCATGGCCATGTGACCGGCATGACTCAACACTTGTTCCCTCCCCACCAAAGATAGTTCCTATTTTTCTACTTGCATTTTTTTTTACGTGCTTTCGAACTGCTAGGTTGGCAGAAGCTGGGACAAGTCAAGGGAGTTACGCAGAGCTAGGGATTCGAACCGCCAACCTTTCTGATTGACAAGCTTAGCCTATTAGGGCAATAGCAGCATTAGGTCAAACCTAATATTTCCTCCATTTATTTCTATAAAAATGGGAGAGAGCTGCATGTTACCCACGACTTAAAAAAAAAAACCCTTTAAAGTAACATCAAAGCGCACGCAGAAGCCTTTTTGTTTAGAATTTTATTTTTATGTACAGAAAAACTGACACATCTATCCAAGCTTGGTGGCCAGCTCTTTTGCTTTGGCCTTTTCAAGTTTAGCAATCCGAGCGACGGATTTGGGACCCAAGACGTTTCCTCCCCAGTGACGACGAATCTGGAAAGGAAAAAAAAGAAAATTTATTTACAAACAGGAAGAAATGCTGATTCTGCCATACTGCCCACCTCTTTGCAATTACAGCCTTTCCAAATTACTGTGTATTGCAGTAACTCAGAAGCTATAAATTAGAGTGCTAAATAATATATATTTCAAGCCTCTTAAGAGACTATGTTTTAGCAGGCTACGTAAGCAGAAGCAAACCAAGCGAAAAAAAATCAGATAGGCTGTTTTACCTCATCATATCTCTCGTTGTAGTTGGTCTTAACAGCTTCCACCAGTTTAGCCAAGGCTCCTTTGTCTTCACTGCATAGAAAAAAGTTAAAAGTAAAGGTTCTCCTCGCACAAAATGTGCCAGTCGTTCCCTACTCTAGGGGGTGGTGCTCGTCTGTTTCAAAGCTGAAGAGCCAGCGCTGTCCGAAGACGTCTCTGTGGTCATGTGGCCGGCATGATTCAATGCCGAAAGTGCATGGAACGCTGTTACCTTCCTAACAAAGGTGGTCCCTATTTTTCTACTTGCATTTTTACCTGCTTTCAAACTGTTAAGTTGGCAAAAGCTGGGGTAAGTCACGGGAGCTCACTCCGTTACGCGACGCTAGGGATTTGAATTGCCGACCTTTCTGATCGACAAGCTCAGCGTCTTAGCTGCTGAGCCACCTATAGAGCCCTATAGAAAAAAGTTAGGGCCAAGCAATTTGCAGGGGTCAAGGCCACCATTTCAAGATGAAAGTGTCATGCAAGAAACATACAGGTGGGTTTTAGTCCCTGCCCAAAGTCACTGAAAGAAGTTGACTTATTACCCTGTCTCGCATCATAGCAGCCTCTCCATAGTCACATGATCCAAAATCAGACACTTGGCCACTGTCTCGTATTTATGACAATCGCAGTGCCCCTTTTGCAACCTTCTGATGAGCAAAGTCAAGCCGGATTTGCTTAAACCATGTTGCTAACTTAACTGCAGTAATTCACTTTAAAGCAACTGCAGCAAATTGGGCAAAACTCATTTAACAAGCACCTTACTTAGCAAGGGGCTCAATTGTGATCGTTAACTGGAGGACTACCTGTATTCAGCTGCTCTCCTAATGGTGCGGCCACCCACAAGTCTATGACCTTCTAGCAGTTATTGAAATGATGACTGCTCAGTTGGCACCCAAATCCCCAATCAGATCTGCCATGTACAGAGGTTGGCAGGACCAGCCTCCACTCAGGGCTACTTACGGATTAACTTGGGTGAAGGCCACGCAAGTGCAGGTTTTCCGGTGGACGAGGCGACCCAGCCTGGCTTTGCCTTTGATGATGCAATAGGGGACCCCCATTTTCCGGCACAAGGCGGGCAGAAAAACCACCAGCTGCCCCAGGGAGAAGAAAATAAAACCTTTTTCAATAAGGGGACCCTGGCTGCATCTTCAACACTAGAGAAATGGGGGTGGGGTGGGGGAGATTTGGGGAATGGCAATCGCTCAGGGTTAAAAAGCTCGTGTAGTTTTGCTCTCCACGGGGGAGTCAGACGAAGAAATTCAAACATCACTGCAATTGCCAAGCCCAAGCAAGTCACAAAAGAACATTGAGAATTGTTTTGGGAACAGCTGCTTCCAGACTTACAAATTGTCTGGCTTTCCCTCCCCACAAATGAACCAAGAGTCACTATGAAAGAACCTGAGAAGAGCAATGGCAAAGGAAACCCCCCCCCCCAAAAAAAAACAATGAAGTCCCTAGATCTAAGTTTCACATTAGACAATTGAGGAAACAGATCTCAGGTTCCTTATTCCTGCATTCCCCCCCCCCCCTTCAAATATAAGACTAACTTGTACTCTAAACGTTTGTCAAAGAGGAAAGGAAAAATGAGAATGGCTGTGAAATGCTACATATTCCTGCCTGGGAGTCAAGGTTTATTTTGAAAGCTATTGCTTCTTTAACCCAAAGCCCGGGAGACGGAAGCGTTGAGTTTGGGACTGAGCCAGACTACAGCACAGAATTTGGAAATGCAAAAGGACAAAGCCTGCCCCATGTGCTTTACCTCAATGGGGTCTACGTCGTGCGCGATCACCACCAGCTGAGCCTTCTTGTTCTCCACCAAGGTCGTGACTGTGTTAACACCTGAGAGAGGAAAAAAAAAAGACCAGTGAGCTAAATTCACAGCATTAATCAAGCGGGATTGTACGGAATGGGCCAACCTGCTAAAGCTCAGAGTTAAATAGCCAATGTCTTTTGGTCTTCAATCTGCAGTTCAGGTGAAGAAATTCATACATCATTGCGATAGCTGGTTGTCAAGAGAAAAACCCCGGGGAAGGCTGTCCTTTCTAGCTAACCAAGCTTGGGAAAGCCAGCAGAGACACTCAAAATGTTACCTGCCCTCAGCACAGGTGGCCTTTTGGTTGGAACATCACCCTTCCCCGCCGCTTTCTGCTCCGCCCGAGCCAACAGCCTCTGTTTCTTCTCTTGCTTGGTTTCAGGCCTGTATTTGTGAGCCAACTTTAGAAGCTGAGTCGCTGTGGAGAGGAGACATTAAATGAGGACCGTAGGATTTCTCTGTGCATTCCCCTAGCAGCTTCACAGAGAATCTTTGTGCATCAGCGATCTTGGTGGTTGGGGGTCGTCAAGAAAGCTCAGATAGTTGATTCCATCATCTGCACATTAGAGAACCTTTTCTCCTTCAGGCTGAACCCAAAAAAAGGGATTCCTTCCTCCCCCCCTTTTCACATACCCCACATTATCTAGCCAGCAAAATCACACCCCCAAGTCAAATTTTTATTACTATGCTCTTTGCACCCCAAAATACTTGTGAGCAGTGAAATGCATGACGTACTTAGCAACCCCTAACGCAAATCTCCCCAGAGCTACTTCTAAGTTTCTTAGTTTGGGTGTGTGTCAACCAACCCCCAAATTTATGGGTATTTTTAGTGTCCCACAGTCACATGACTGCAATTATATATTTTGCTGGAAAACAATGTTTACCTCTAACTTCTGGCAAATACCCCCCTCCCCCTAACCTGCTCACTTAATGACTGCCGCAACGGAGGACATAAAATAGGGTGAACTGGTTAACAACACGCACAACTTAATGGATGGGATTCCAGGCTCAATTCTCATCATAGGTCAAGGAGTATCTCTATATAGGAAGACCCGTTTTTCCTCTGCAGCCTTCTGCTCAGCCTCCTTCCTCTGACAATTAAAACAGGGGAAAAAATCACCATTTACCCGTCTGGCGGTCCAGGGCTTGGGTGAACTGGTTGACTGCTGGGGGCACCTTCAACCTTTTGTAAAGGATCGCCCGCTGGCGCTGGAGGCGGATGTAACGAGGCCATTTCACAAAGCGGGTCAAGTCTCGTTTGGGCTGGATATCCTGGCCTGAAAGACACAGCATCAACTCAGAGGATCGTTTTGTAAAGCTTGGGGGCTTCCCCCCCCCCCCCCGAGCAAAAAAAAAGGGGCATCAGCATCAGAGATCTTGGTGGAAAAGCTTGTCAGCACTGCCACTCAGTTAGCAAATATTCTTTCCATCATTTGCTTGCACCCTTTTTACAGCATTAAGTTCAAAAGTTGCTCAACTCTTAAGTTTGGGGGATGACATGTCAAGAATAAACTAATTAAACTTCCCCAAAATAGAGATCCGACACACCCAAAAGACCAGATTCTCCCCCCCTCCTTAATCTATACATTAACCTGACATATAATTTGATAATTCTATGCCGCTTTTCCATGAAATAGCAAACCTTATTTTATTAATAGCAAAAGCAACAAAGAATGAACAGTTCCATGAAGAATCAAGGGCAACAATAATGTTTTCTAATATATAATAAAAGAATGTGGTTTCCCCCTAACCTTCAGGTGCCTCACTCAACAGCTGTAATGAACTTGAAGCAGGGCAATTTCTCCAGAATGTTAAAATCCAGTAATAAATATCCTCCAATAAATTGATCCCAACCTGTTCAGGACTTTATAACACCTAGAAAATGGCTTGAAAGCTAACTGGCAGTCAGTATACGGTTTTCAGCACAGGATACATTAAAAGCACCTTTGTAGATCTAACTACCCCACCCAAAATGCTAACTAAAGTACATAACCAATGCATCTTTCTCAGTGTCTTGCTCCAAAGGATTTTTGAGAGGGTCTTTCTTAAGTGATCATAAAGCATTTCAAGACCCCCAAGGATATCCTTTTTAAGCCAGAATGGCTAATATTTTTCTTTCACCTTTCAACATTTTACAGATTCTTCAGGGAAGTTAAAAAAAACAAAACATCTCCAACACTGTTGCATAGATTCTGGAGACTCAATATTTATTCACTCCTATGGTGCCTCTTCAAAATGGCTTTAAGGAGCTCAGAAATGCAATCTCAAGAAAGTTTCGGAACCAAAATCAACAGTGTCTGTTTTCTCCAAATGGAAATATCCCTGCATTTGTCCAAAGACTGAATAAACTGCAAGAAAACAAGCTCAGAAGCACCAAGGACTCCCAAGCCAAACAAATTATGAAGATGTAATGCAGTTTTCCTCGAATTCCCTGCATGATCAGCAAATAAGGCCCGCATCCCATCCATCTCCTTCTCTTTCCCAACTCACCGATGCCGAAGTTTTTGGGCCTCTTCTCAAAGAGCGGGTTCACCACCTTCTTGGCCTCCTGCTTCTTGACCACAGCAGGGGCCGGAGCCACCTTCTTCCCCTTGGCCTTCTTCCCCTTGGGCTGCAAAAGTGAAGCACAAGTCAAATCTGGATCGTTCCACCTACCGCCAAATATGTAAATGCATCGTCTCCTATACGCCTTTTGCTTAAGTGGGCGACGGCTATGTCCAAACGACTGTTCCCAAGCTAGGGAATCAGACTCGGCGCTGGATTCGAACTCCCAACCTCGCGGCTCAAACAGATCTGGAAACTTGTCGCCAATGCAATGCAAATCCGTTTACAATTACCAATTTTACCTTCTCTATTAATCTCGTAGAGCAGCATAAATATTATTCTCGCCCAACTAAGACTACTGCTTCCATCCCTCTAAATCGCCAAACTTGGTGACTTTTAAGACGTGCGGATTTCATCCCTCCCAGAATTTCCCAACTAACCTAATCACGCCATGCTGGTTGGGGAATTCTGGGAGTTGAAGTCCGCAAATCTTAAAATTTGAAGATCGCTGCTCTAAATCGAGACGGTACCAAGGCAATTGTTGCCTAATTCAGGTATCTCCAAGCTTGGCACCTTTTCAGACTAGCGGACTTCAACTTCCAGAACTCCTCAACCCAGCAAGGCTGGCTTAGGAATTCTGGGAGTTGAAGTCCACAAGCATTGCATATTCCCAAGGTTAGGGACCACTGGCCTAATACATTGTTCTGGCTGCCAATCGGTAGGATTGAATCGGCCGATAGGCCCGAAGCAGCAGCAGTAGCTCAGCTGCTGCTTCCAGCCGACCGATCTTTGCAAAAACCAGCGAGGCTGAAAACTCCAGCCTATCCAAAGACCGGCTTCCCGTCATTTTCCCCTCCCAATAGAAGCGGCCTCCGGTTCGGCGGGGTTCCTGGCCCTCCGGGGCGCGATAAAGACCCCCAAGTAGGGCCTCCGACGGGCGGATGGCGCCGGATTGGAAGTCCTCCCTTCCACCGGCAGACCCAACACGTCGCAGGGACTCACCATCTTGGCTGGAAGAAGAAAAAGAGAGAGCGGTGCCTTCTGGGTAATATATCGCAGCCACGCTGGTTCTCGCGAGAGGTTTGGCGCTCGATCACGCGGGAAGATGCGGAAGAGGAAGACGGGTCTCGGGCGATTTTTGTCATCATAGAGACGATAAGCGAGTACCGGGCTTCCGCGAGCTCCTAGAGAGTCCTCGAGGGGGGGCGTCCAACCCCTTGCGGGGCAACTGAATAAAACAGGAAGAGGGTCTCGCTCCCCAAGCAACCAATCAGCTTTCAGGATTCATGCCATCGTGAAAAAACTCCCTTTTCGGATTAGAAATGCTTGATTAAGGAGTGGCAGTGAAAAGGGTGGATGTTGATAAGGTAAGAGCTTCAATTTTAAAGTAATTGCATTGCTGTCTCAAACCACTTTTGCAATACTTTGTTTCTGGTCTTTTAAATGTATGGAGCAAGGTTCTAGTCCTCATTAGCCTTATTCTTACAGTGCTCCCTCCGATAGATAGATAGATAGATAGATAGATAGATAGATAGATAGATAGATAGAATTCTTTATTGACCAAGTGTGATTGGACACACAAGGAATTTGTCAAATTATACTAGGAAACAAATAAAACAATATACATTTTAAAGATACAAGGAATAGCTCGATCCAATAGATTAAAATGGAGGGGATTATTTGTGGTTCATTTGTTGTGTGAATGCAGACTTACTTCCAGATCTGCCTCCCCACTATGTTTAGTTAAATAGAGATGGAATTTATATAGTTTTCTGACATGTGATGTTCGGCTCCTCAATCTTGATTATTGGCTTCATATTTATACATACCTATGTATATACCAGAAAAAACCCATCACCTTTTTTTTTGGACTATTTATGACTTCTTTTTAATATCAATGTGCTTGCAGGCCAATGTATGGCTGGGAATAATATTGACACAAGGCACAAATTTTAACCCTGAAAGCTGAAATGGAATGTTTGTGGGCAATATTTTTTTTAAATGTTTATAGATTTGGGTTTGTTTAATACATTTTTCCCCTGGATTTGTTATTTGTGATGCCGTTTCTTGGTCCGTTTCTCTCCTAAAGTCATGTCGCAGCAACGAGTCCTAACCCAAAGTAAAGAAACTCTCCTCCAGTCCTACAACAAGCGGCTGAAAGATGATGTCAAATCCATCATGGACAACTTTACAGAAATAATCAAGTCTGCAAAAGTAGGTATTGTTGTGGCCTGCCAGCAGCCAGCGGAACTGGCAGCAGATTCAGACAGCGAGGAGGTTGGGGAGGAACCTGGGCCAGTCCTGGAGTCTGGGGAAGGCTCGGACGAGGGCACTGTGTCAAAGGCAGAGAGAGGGTCAGAGCCAGTTATCAGCTGCCTTCAGAGTCGGACATCAGTGGGACAGAAGAACAGCTGGAGCCTGTTCCCAGTGTGCGCAGAGTTGCCAGGCGAAGGGAACAGCTAAGGAACAGGGGTCAACTTGGGAGTAAGGCCACAGGTGGACGATGAATGGCCTCTCCTAGAGGAAATAAAGGAGTGGATGGTGAATGGCCCCTCCCAGAGGAAATAAAAGAGGAGCGAAAGGGGAGTGGAGTTTGCAGGAGACAATTAGTTCACTTAATTGGTTCA